TCTGAAGTTAGAGTCTTCTGTACCTTGACAAAGTACAGGTTGCAGGTTTGAGTCTTGAACCAATTTCAATTCAATTCAATTCAGTTTATTTATATAGCGCCAAATCACAACAAAGTTGTCTCAGGGCACTTTACAGAAACATTCACATAAAAGCCAATTAGTAGTTCTCTATCTAAGGAATCCAGCAGACAAGTTGAATCTTGGCTTCGTTGCAGTCTTCAATCCTGAGCAAGCACAGTGGCAACAGTGGAAAGGAAAAACTCCTTTTTAAAAGGAAGAAACCTCCAGCAGAACCAGGCTCAGGACAAGAGGCCATCTGCTTTGACTGGCTGGTTGAGAGGACAGGAAGGAGAGACAGGCAAACACAGAATGGTAGGTCCAGGTACAGATCCAGGTGTACCTGAAAGACAAAAAAAGCCCCACATGTTAAGAATAAAAAAAAAAAATTACAAATACAAAACAGGTTGAGCAGAGTAAGTAAAGACAGTAGTAGAGTGAAAAGTGTGGTCAGTTTGTCCTCCAGCAGTCTAAGCCTATAGCAGCAGAACTAAGGGACACCTCAGGAAACCCAAGCAACCCTAACTATAGGATTTATCAAAAAGGAAAGTCTTAATCCTAGTTTTAAAACTGGACAATGTGTCAGCCTCACGGACAGAGATTGGAAGTTGGTTCCACAAGAGAGGAGCCTGATAACTGAAAGATCTGCCTCCCTTTATGTTTTTGTAAATTCTAGGAACCACAAGTAAACCTGCAGTCTGAGAGCAAAGTGCTCTGTTAGGAAAATATGGAACAATAAGATCTGTAATGTAAGATGGAGCCAGGTTGTTGAGAGTTTTGTAGGTTAGAAGTAAGATTTTGAATTCTATTCTGGACTTGACAGGGAGCCAATGGAGAGAAACTAAAACTGGAGAAATATGATCTCTCCTACTAACTCCAGTTAATGGTATGGTATAAAGTTTATTCATTTTAAAAAAGTACAAAACAATTCCATAACAATATAAAAAAAGATACAAAAGATTTAAAATGAAAGGCAGCAGAAAGAAGAAAAAATCTTATTATATCTGCCCCTTTTTTCAAACAATTATTTCAATCATAATAATTTTCAAGTAATAGAACAAAATGAATAACTTTCTAATTTATATAATTCTAATACAAAACACACACTAAGCTACTTCATATATACTTTTTTAACATTTCAGTTTTGATCTTTTTCTTAAATGTACACATTGACTTGGCATTTTTCACATCACTCTCTAGACCATTCCACAATCCAACTCCTTGGATTGAGGTAGACCTTCCCTTCAGACTAGTTCTGAATTTTGTTTTGACAAATATCTCTATCCCCTTAAGATTTTAACAACTTTGTCTTTTAACAAAATTTCTTTGAATATTTAATGGTAATGTGTTATTTTAATTCAGTTAAGACTCTGGCAGCAGCATTTTGGATCAACTGAAGATGTTTTAAAGAAGTATTTGGACATCCAGATAATAAACCATTGCAATAATCCAGTCTAGATGTGACAAATGCATGGACCAGTTTTTCTGCATCATTTTTACATAAGATGTTTCTAATTTTAATTACTGATGTATTTAGTAAATACACCATTGCTGTCCCAACTCGGGACCAAAAAGCCTCTACTGTTGCCCAGGTTGTGCTGAACGGCTGGTTCTTTAGGTTCGGGGTTCCAAGCCACATTCATTCCAACCAGGGTAGAAGCTTTGAGAGTGCTCTAATCCAGCAGTTCTGTAATTTGTATGGGGTTAAAAAGTCATGCACTACCCCTTACCAACTTGCTGGAAATGGGCAGTGTGAGCGGTTCAAAAGAACATTTCACAATCTACCGCGCAACTTACCAGTGTCTAGGAAGCGGGATTGGGCTTCCTGCCTTCTTCAAGTACTGTTCAGTTATAACACTACCCCTCACCACAGTACTGGCGAGTCTCAATTTTTCCTAAAGTTTGGCCGCGAACCTCAGCTGCCTGTGGACTTTCTGTTGGGTCATGTGTGGGACCCTGTACCAGGTGAGGTGGAGGATTGGGTGTCTGAGCATCAGACTAGACTAACTATGGCCTTTCATCATGCCCAGGAGCACTTGCTGTTGACTGCAGAACGGAGAAAAGAGCATCAGGATCAGGGTGGTTCCATTACAGGAGGATCAGCTGGTTTATTTGCGTGATCATAGTATTAGAGGTCGTCATAAAATCCAGGACCTCTGGAACCCAGTTGTCCACCAGGTCATGAGAGCCCCTACTGGCGGAGGGCCAGTTTACACTGTTGCTCCTGTGGGTGATTTGCAGAAAACCCGGAACGTGCATCATGACATGCTGAAGGCTTGGGTTAGGCAAGAGCCCATGCCTGAACCCCTTCAGACAAAACTTACCTTATCTTCAAGGGAGTCTGACTCCCTAGAGGATGATTTGTGCTTACTTGTCCCTGATACTTCAGTACCCTCAACCTCTGCAGCTCCAGGGTCATCCCCATCTGTGACTTCAGGGTCTGGTCATTCTAGTCAAACTTCTGCAGCAGTTCATCCACCGTTGTGTTGCACTGCCCGCTCTGGAGCTGGTCAGCTTTCTAATGTCCATCATCTGCCTCGACCTGTGGGTCAGGAAACAGGCTTTGGTCAGCCAGTTTTGAATGCTCAGCTTGTCTGCTTTCGTCCTTGGTGTTAAGGTTTACAGGTTCATCGCCGGGGCGACGATGTAACACTGTGGGGTTTGACCCTTCCCCTCTTTTGCACCAGTATAATCAGGTGCACACCATTGATTGATGGGTGGGGCTGATGCCTTTATAGCTGGGCAGGTAGTGCCACTGTGTGTGTGTTGTTCTGGTGGCACATCAGCTGTTTGGGTGGCTGGCATTCTTGATCTATTCTACTGCTATCGTAAGTCCTACTTTGTACATCTAATAGCTGGGACCTGAGTTGATCTTTGGAGTGCTACTCCTGCCGCGTATGTCTGAAGCTTAATCGCTCCACTGGCGTTGCCGGCTGGGGTTGCGGTGCACGGCCTCCCCTTGTTGTCGGCTCCTCTGCTGGTCCGCTCCTTCCCCGGAGGGCTGCATTCTCACTTCTGGGCAAGCTGCCCGTTTTAGATATTTTTTGTTTTGTAATCGGAATTCACAATTGATTTTTTTTGGTATTAGGCACATGATTGCCTGCGTGCTGCATTCAAAGCAGCAGCGCTTTGGGCGCCCTGCTGTCTTGTTTTACACGTATATGGTTACACTGTTTCCATAGTGCGTCAGCTGCTGCGCAGCGACTTGGACTGGCGGTACATGCCTCTTTGAACCCTGATGTCCGAGGGTGGAGAATGGGACGTTGCCAGTTGCTCCAGTAATTGAATTGTTTTATTTGTTTGACGTTTGGAAAGCTCTTTGGAGTCCTCGCTGCTCATTCATGTCAAGTTTTCACTGCTCAGTTTGTCACAAACATATTCGAACAGAGAAGTCTGACAGGACGACAAGTTTAAAGCAAGTTTAGTTTTTCAGTTTTCTTGTTTTAAAATGTAAAAACAGCCCTTTAATGTCTCAGAAATGCAGAGAGTCTTCCTCACTCTTCATTACTGTACAATCTCTTTATTGTTATTGGTGTGACATTTTGAAACTGAAGCATTTTAAATAAGTTTGATCAGAGGGTCAGTTTTATCAATTTGTTTCTGTGTATTGTATGGTTTTAATGATTGTTTTAATGGATGAATAAAAAAATATTTGTATATATTTGTCAGTCTGTGTTCAAGTGCATTTATGGACCTCAATTAGTTGGGTATAAAAATATATATATAATTTCTCCCCACTGGCGTTGTCGATTTCCTTAACTAAAATCTCTGAAATCTATCCCGCCCTTCTGGTCACATATAGAAGTGCTTCAATTCAGGTGAGATTTTTACAAATGCTACCATAATTAGAATGTACTACTGCATTTTTTAAATGAATACTAACATAAAATGCATTATCATCATAAATTTTAGACAAATGATAACATGATTATGACGTACTGTTTTCAGAGTAATATTGCATACTACTTAGGAATGACTTGTGAAATTCAATGGACTGTAAAATGGTAAAGGGACTGTACTTATATAGTGCCTTTCTATCTAATCAAGATACTCAAAGTTCTTTACAACACAATCTGTGTCCTCATTGACCCATTCATACAGCTCTATACTAGACCTCTACAAAGCTATTTGAACAACTCATTCTAAAGAGACTAATCAGAGCTTTATCACATTCATACACTGATGGGACACACATCAGAGGCATTGAAGGGTTCAGTGTCTTGCCCAGAGACACTTTGGCATGTGACTGCTGGTGGATTCGAACCCCCAACTCTTGCATTGGAGGATGACTTTTCTAACCACTGAGCCACAGCCGCCCCTAGTGCATGGGGAAAGGAGAACAACAATAGGCTCTGTGCACATGCGTCCTGAATCACTTCCCCTTTGACCGGATGTCGGCATTCCAGTTTCCGGTCTAATCCCCGGTCTCGGTGAAAATGGCGTTTTCTAGATGTTTACAAGAGCTGCCCAAGATAAATATCAGCGATGTTCATCGTATTGTTGATGGCTGGTCCCCTGCTCCGACAAGCAAACGTAACAAGGGATTTAAATTGTATATCTCAAGTTACCTGCACAACTACGAGGGTAAGTAACGTTAGTTTGATCGTTGTGATGTTGCTAACTGTTTGCAGCTAACGTTAGGCTATTAGCAACACGACCATTTTTGTGTATACTCACGTTATAGAAACAGGTTTTCCACACTTAAACAAAAGGCTCATATTTTGTGATCATTCTACTAACATTCTGCTCTTCTCAGTTTCTAGCAAAAATCAGGACACAGGTGAAGTCGTTGTCAGGGCTCTGTGTCACAGGTCCATGAAGAAAAATGAAAAACCTCACAGTTTAAGTGTAGGGTGAAGATAGGATTGTTCAGATGACAGTTTTAAGATTGTTGGTTCAGTAACCCGACGTTAGGAGTTTGATCAAATCAAATGTACAAATTTGTTTCAAAATATTTCCATCATGAATATCTATTTACAAATGTAAGACAATGTCAATGTAAGTAAATGACAGCATTTTCTGTTTCTTCAAGACTGTGCCATCAGCTTTTCTGTCAAACTTCATATCTCCATTTCCTGACCAAAGGTCCATTTTGGTAATTTGACAGGAGACAGGCAACTGTAAAAATTTGGTTTATGCTTCCTGCAATGGAGAGAGGGATAGTGGAATCAAAGAGTTTATTTTCTTTAACTCTTCTTATTAACCTCTCAACATGCACCCTCAAACGGGCAATGGACTGGGTCTTCAAAACGTCGACCTCTGACATTTGGGCCCTCTTGGAGAGGAAGGCAGGACGATGAACAGTCCCAGGTACGAGATCATCCACCAAGAATCCCTTGTCCACCATGATGGCCATGTCCAGTGTCAAGAGTGATGTAATCCCTGATTGACGGAACACTTCCTTGTCACTCATGGAACCCTCAAACAGTGCTGACACAAATGTCAGGGCTCCGTGAGGAGACATGCCCACCATGGCCTTAAAGGTACAGTGGGATTTGTAGGTGGAGAAGACTTCACTCTGGAGGAGCAGGGATGAAGGTGTTTGACACCGTAGTTCTGTACAGTCCAGGATAACTTGTGTGTCACTGTAGCGGCCATCAAAATCCTGTGGAAGACTGGAACTCACAGCTGCAGGAGACATCCACACACAAATTGAGCCCAATAAGCAGTACAGGAAGTTGGCCCATGTCACAATAATGCGGCTGACTGTTGCTCTGTGGATGTTAAATCGATGGCCCAGTTCCCTCTGGGTACATCCAGTAGACAGGTAGGAGAGGAAAAGAAAAAGCTCATCTATTGGCAGCAGTTTCTGGACAGAAAATTATTTAAATGTTAGTTCAAAACCAGCATTCTCATTGTGTGTGTGTGTGTGTGTAACTTACAGTTGGTCTGGTAAAAGGGGTTTCAGTTGTTGTACTCATGACGTCGGTTTTCTTTGCTCTGGTGACCCTGACCATTTTGGCTGTTGCTGCCTCGATCAAGTTCCAAAACGCCTTCAGATGCTCATATGAGGGGAACCTAAAACACATAAAAAAAAAATATATATATATATATATATATATATATATATATATAAACTGTCACTCTCCACATTTATAACTGTGAAAACAGTTTTCAAATTTTGACACGGTACAACTAAGAACATAAATATCTTTCTTTGAAATTTTATGTTGTAAAGTGGAAAGAAAATTATACATGATTTGAAGGTTTGTAATTTTTTTATAAATTGAAAACTATTTTGAGCACAAATGTTCAGCCCCCTTAAATCAGAGAGTAACTTCTAGTCTTCATAAGTTTCCTGATGATTGCCAATGGCATAATAGTCAGCCTGTGTGTCATCTAATCACAGAAACCAACTATTTTCACCGACCTGAGGCTGTCACTAGCTGCTGTATTTGTATTTGACATTAGTTTACACACGGGTGGACTCCATAGCCATTTGTAATCATTAAAGCTATTTCTGAAGGAATATTGGTTACAGAAAAGGGAGCCGATTACTCTTACACACCACACTTTTCAGTATCATTTGTAAATACAGTACTACTAGTACTAGTACTACTACTACTACTACTACTAATAATAATAATAATAATAATAATAATAATAATAATAATGTGTTACATTATGTATAATTTCATTTCCACTAGTAAGTGTGTACTTGTGTTGGTCTCTCAAAGAACATTACAATGAAATTGTTTTTGGTTGTAATGTGACAAAATATACAATGACTCAAAGCGTATTAATTTTTTTCAGAGGCATAACGTAATATTTAGATTTTACAACTCTGACCTGGTGTAAAATCTGATGTCTTCTGGTGACGTAGAAAAACGTTCCAGTCCAAACGGCTTTTGAAGACTACAGGATCGGAGCTGCTCTTTCAGTTGCTCAATTTCTCTCAGCATGCTGTGATATTGCTCCCGGTCAACACACACGGTTCTGCTGGCGCCGTAGTCATGGTCCACGACCATAGGTACCATGACGGGTGGTTCATTGTCCTCAATTGGATCCGCCGAATCAGGTTCTGGATTAGATGGTCGACAACGGCGCTCCCAAACACCTGCTCGTGTCTTCCTGCTGTATTTGTTCCACTCAAATAATGATGGAACGGACCCAGCTGCTAAAATTCGTCTTCCCTTTTCTGTAGTAATTACTTCATTCTCCAGGAAATGTCGGCTACATACCTTGGTGTGAGGAGTTACCGTAAATCCCTCTCTTCTGATTTTTTGCAGCCAGCACAAACGAAGGCTTGTCTCCTTAGGGAAACGGTGAAAGCTCAAACGGCTATTATAGCGACCTGAAGACGAGCAAAGCGGCACACAACAGTGCTCCTTAGACCCAAACACCGTCGGCTGAAATCTAAAGCTGCCACGCACGTTATATTTTTGTTTATTTGACGCAGCAACACTCATTTTAGTTGTTTATCTCTGGGATGACAGGATACAGGAATTAAACCGGAAACTGGAATGCCGACATCCGGTCAAAGCGGAAGTGATTCAGGACGCATGTGCACAGAGCCTATTGTGAGGTGTTACTGATGAAATGTTAAATGGTTGCAATAGATCTACTGATACATGCTCAATAATCCAGGTTGAAAAATCTACAAAAGTTAAGTCTGGTCCTCTGGACATTCAAAAAACAAAACAAAACAAACAAACAAAAAAGTAAAAACATTTTGTCTTTCATCCGAAAGACTTCTTTAGTCTGAGGCATTCAGCTCAGTCTTATAAGTCAAGTCAAGTCAAGTCACATTTATTTATATATAGCACATAGTAACTTATCAAAGTGCTTACCAAAAAAGATCACAGCATCAAATATCAATAACAACATATTACAGCAACATGAATAAAAGCATAAACACATGAATTATAATTAGCAACAATGAAATAATAAATCAAATCACCCTGCATTAAATGTCAGAGAGTAAAAGCAAAATGGATGAACACAATCAACTATGAAATACCAAATGAGATCACCCTGTGTTAAATGCCCATGAGTACAGGTGTGTTTTGAGGAGAGATTTAAAAATAGAGACTGAGGTGGCCTGTCGAATGTTGATGAGCAGATTGTTCCACAGTTTAGGGCCTGTATTGCATATTGATGTATCGCAACTGTATCTTGTCCTTTATTTGGATCTGCTCGTGTTTTGGTATCGACAAGTACAGATTGAATTAAGTCAGAGAATGTATTTGAGTTTGTGTACGGGACATGAACTAACAGGGAGCTGCTGGTGTGTGTCCCACCTGATGACAAGATCACCAATTCAATTCAATTCAGTTTATTTATAAAACACCAAATCACAACAAAGTTGTCTCAGGGCACTTTACAGAAACATTCACATACATAAAAGCCAATTAGTAGTTCTCTATCTAAGGAATCCAGCAGACAAGATGAATCTTGGCTTCGATGCAGTCTCCCATCCTGAACAAGCCCAGTGGCGACAGAGGAAAGAAAAACTCCCTTTTAAAAGGAATAAACCTCCAGCAGAACCAGCTCAGGACAAGCGGCCATCTGCTTTGACCGGCTGGTTGAGAAGACAGGAAGGAGAGACAGACGAACACAGAATGGTAGGTCCAGGTGTATCTGAAAGACAAAAAAAACATGTTAAGGATAGAAAACTGGAACCAGTAAACTGGAACGGCAAAGGAAAATAATAAAACAACTCCATAAAAGGACTTCCAGGAAATGAAGACATCACGTTGAACTAGTTTAGACAAAGAACTGAAAGAATGTTGTGAAATGTCTCTAGGTGGAGCTTTTGTATTTAAATACAGAAGGAACTGAAGCTCCGGTCAGACGCGTCTTGGGTTTTTGCTGTATTTCTGTTGGTCTGGGGTAAGAGCGTCTCCTTTCAGTTGAAAGCTTTAATAAATGTTGGTAATACTTTTTAACTTGAATCACTCTGACTGATTATTGTGTCTTTTCTCCATGTATCTCCAAACCAATGAGAGGAACAGGTGAACAGGCTGAAAAGTCTGAGTTGTTGTGTTGATTTTCCTTGACAATTTTGGTGCCGAAACCCGGGATACTGGAGAAGGACGACTGGTAACCGGAGAATTTGACATCAACACGGGTTGTTCAGTGCAGTTCCACGGGCCAGCAAACAGGTATGATCAAAACCTTGAACAGGTTAAAGATATAAGATTTCTAGGTATGATTTTTGATGAAAAACTTACTTGGAAGCAACATATTGATAAAGTTAGAATAAAATGTAAAAATGTTAATAATATACTATGTTGTTTAGCAGGAAGGGAACGGGGAGCAACTAGGAAATCTTTAATAAATATATATCAATCTCTTATGAGATCAACAATGGATTATGGCAGCATCAGTTATTTGGCAGCAGCAGAAACAAATTTAAAGTTTCTTGATATAGAACAATCAAAAGCATTCAGAATATGCAGTGGAGCTTTTAGAACGTCACCAATTGCAGCTTTACAGGTAGAAATGGGGGAAATGCCTTTAAGACTCAGAAGATTAAAGCAAATGTTGGTATATTGGGTTACTGTTAAAGGACAAAATCTATCTCATCCTATTCATAAAATATTACAAGAATGTTGGGAGCATCAAAAAATGGATATCTATAGTTTTGGCTGGATAAGGAATATAAAAGCAGAGTATGCAGGATTACATGAATTAAACTTATGTCCAACAGTTGTTCTTCCTAACATCCCACATTGGCTATTTACTAACCCCTCTGTTGATCTATCTTTACACCAATTAATTAAAAATAAAGAAAAGCATAGCTCAGAACATTTATTAGTGCAACAATTCATCAATAAACAAAATAAAAATAAGATTATAATATTTACAGATGGCTCGAAAGATCCCGAGTCAGGACGTAGTGGAGCAGCAATATACATACCAAACCAAAATATAGAGATAAAGAAAAGAACAACCGATAATTTGTCAGTGTACTCAGTAGAATTATTAGCAATACTTATGGGTTTAGAGTGGATAGAAAAACATAATGATAAAAAATATGTAATAGCATCAGACAACATGGCAGCTTTATTAAGCATCAATTCAAATAACTCAAAAAGAAAAGACATAATTGACCGGATCCACCACATTTTATATACTCTTGACATGAGGCAGATATCTGTAGACTTTGTTTGGGTTCCGGCACATGTGGGAGTGGAGGGTAATGAAGGTGCAGACATTTTAGCAAAACAGGCAGTAAAATAAAATAAATATTAATTATGACATACCACTATGTAAAGACGAATGTAAAATGATAATAAATACATATATTAAGAAAATATGGCAGGAGAACTGGGACATAACTGACACAGGAAGACATTTACATAACATACAGGAAAAAGTAGGTTATACAAGAAAAACAGGAAGTAACAGGAGATTAGAATCAATAATTACTCAGATTAGAATAGGACACACTGGACTTAATAAATCTCTAAAAATAATAGGTAAACATGCAACGGGACTATGTGACAAATGCACCAGCAATCTCCCAGAAACAGTTCAACATGTCATCATGGAATGTCCTGGGTATAACACAGAAAGAAAGCTTCTCCAAAAATAAATAAATAAAATGAATATAAAATTTACAATTAGGGATATTTTTAGTAGTGACATCAGTAAAGTTAAAAACCAAATTAGTATTTTCTTAAAAAAATAAAAACTTAATGGAAAGAATTTAGATGAGTTGCTAAATTAATTTCACAGAATTAGATTTTTATTTATTTTTTATCTCCTGTCCACACTCCAGCTCAGTAGGTGGCGGTAGTGCACCTTACGTTGGTCTGCCAACCGCCAAAAAAACAAAACAAGAAGAAGAAGAAGAAGTCCTTGTCCTGGCATTATCTACTGTTCACTGGTGATGGCCCGTCTGTATCGTGAGTACCCTGATCATTCTACTGTATGTTTGTTTTGCTGCCCTGCCAGCTTTTTGTTTTGTAAATAAATCTCTTATTTTGTACATGTATTATTTTGTATATATGGGGGAGTGGTGGCGCAGAGTTTAGAAGATGGGCCTGTGATCGAAAAGTCGCAGTTTCAACTCCTGGTACCGTCAACATCAAAATGTGGGTGGAAAAGGTGGAACACCCACACCTGCCTCCACCCTCATTCACCCCACTCTGGGCCCCTGAGCAAGGCCCTTAACCCCCCCATCTGCTCCCTAAACAGGCCTCTCTTGAAAATGAGTTCTCGTGGCTCAATGAGACTACCTGTATAAATAAAGAGTAAATAAATGAAAAAAAAAAAAATATATATATATATATATATCCTGAGTCCTTGCCTGCTTGCCTGTCTGCCTGCACCATTGGGTTCAGCAGCTCCAGCTAGTTGTGACATCAACATTCATTAAGAACACATATTTTATCTTTATGTTGCCTTGATCTGAGCTTCCAGCTTCCAAATTGATGCTGGGCAGTGCTCCTAATTCATCAGCTTGATCTTATAGCTCAACTTTTAAGGAAACTGCTTTATAGTAAAATAAATAAATAAGCAAAAAATACCTCTGTTCTTCTCCACAGTGTAACTCCTACCCACTTGAATATCTTGCACCAAAAACATTAATTTTTTTTTATATTCCCTTGTAGTGAACCAGATGACCTCAAATCTACCAGATGGACAGAGACTGTTATTTTCATTGATCTGAATGAGTCTGGGCCATCTGATGAACTTTCTTTCTTGAATTAATCAAGCAGAAAAGACAATTCTTTATAATCATTACTGTTTTACAAATGTTTTGATAATCAAATTGTGTTAGTTCACTCAATGCTTTACAGGTTGAAAAGAACTACTCATTTTTATTTTACATAAACAGTAAGTAATGATTTTTATTCCTCATTCAGAGAAGAAATCACCTGAATAAGCATTCCTTGATTTTCTGTCTGAAATGAGCAAGCTGTCGTAAGTGTGTGAAAGGTTGGTTTTCGGTCAACTAAAATGTTTACCGAGAAAAATGTCATGTTTAAACTTTTTCAGAAGATTACCAAGAGTAGACTCCAGAAAGTCTGCTGCTTCTGCAATAATCTTTTCTGTATGTTAAACAAGTTTCATTCTCTGACCTCGACTGTTGATAAACACCTTACGTCAAAAACACACCTCTTTCTGGTCCTTCCACGAATCAGAAAGCTCTAAACTGAACAGGAAGTAAACTCATTTAAAATGTGACAACTGCCCAGTTCATGTTAGATTTTCAGAATTCCAAGAGAATGAGAGCTGACAACAGATTGAGAGTTCTGGAGAATGTGAGAGTTCCAAGATTGAGAATGCAGTCGGTTCTGAAAGCTTCAGAGCAATGAAGAATCCAGAGGTTTTTTGGGGATTATAATTCTGTTTTGAACTAACCACGCACGACTCTTCGAGGATTTTAGCTGTTTTCAACGGAGACGCTGATATCAGTTGAAAAGGATTCCTACTGAGCTGATCTATCATCAACCAGGTAACGGCCTCTTCTTCGACTAAAGTGTACCGTGGACAGGCTGGAGATCTGACGGAGCGTGCAACTTCTGGTCAAACAGATTAAATTCCCTCACACATTTC